GTGGACAAGGATGTATGTTTTATAAGTTGTCAGTATTGTGATATCCTGGTAATTGTTCAAGAGTTTACTGTTACAGGAATAATAATTTCTTAAATTTCTTCGGGGATACTGAAAAGTTAACTTATTTTGCTGAACACATCAAATATATTTCTTGCTTTTCATCACTTGGTTGCAAGGTCCGATTTTATTTTCAGGATTTAAGATTCCGTTTTGATAATGCTTCACATGTCAATTTTTTTACACAAAAATTAAGCAATGCTAAAAGAGTCAGTATAAACTAGGGTTAGGCAACACTTAAGTGGAGCATTGACAACAACAATTTGTTTATAAATTGTTGGCTGGGCATTTCTTAGAAGTAGACGGATAACAAAGTTGACAAATCTTTATGGATAACAACTTCTTTATTATGCTGTGAATGTTATTACAGCAAAATAAAAAAGTTGTTATCCATAACATTTGTCTACTTTGCATTTTTTTATGGCATACTTAAATGTTGTATATGAGCATGCTGAGTAGCACTGTAATCATGCAGATGTACACACATCTCAACATACTTGTTTGAGCCATTGAGTATTTACTCATGTTATCATTCAACCCGTGAAGATTCAGGGTAGAAAAGGTCTTCAGCAACCTATGCTTGCTGTAAAAGGCGATTATGCTTGTCATAAGAGGTGACTAACAGGATCAGGTGGTCAGGCTCGCTGACTTGGTTGATGCATGTCATTGTATCCCAATTGCGTGGAACGGTGCTCATGATGTCAATCACTGGATTGTCTGCTTCAGACTTGATTATTTACAGACCGCCGCCATATAGCTAGAATATTGCTGAGTCGGGCGTTAAACAATAAAGAAACAACAAACAAACATCATGTTATCATTCACATTAGGTATTGATAGTTTTCTTTGGGTATTCATTATGTTTCTGGTCCCTTGGGGCCAGTCTGTTGGGTATTTTTACACCAATGAGTAGACATCTTTTTGGATAATTCTGTTTGAAATGTTGCATTAACTCACAACAACGGTGTACATGTCTAATTAACAATAAGGGAGACTTTTTCTATGCATTGCTCACTGCAGCAGAATTCATGAATGTGTGATGCCTGCTCTAGATCAGTAAATACAGACCCGTGAAGATCTGGGGTAGAATAGGTCTTCAGCATCCCATGCTTGCCTTAAAAGGCGACTGTGCTTGTCGTAAGAGGCGACTAACGGTATCGGGTGGTAAGGCTTGCTGACTTGGTTTGATGCATGTCATCATATCCCAATTGCGTGGATTGATGCTCATGATGTCAATCGCTTGATTGTCTGGTCCAGACTCAATTATTTACAAACCACAGTCATATAGGTGGCATATTTCTGAGTGCTGTGTTAAACAACAAACAAACAAACAAACAAACAGATCTGTAAGAAAGTGCATGGATGCAAATTGAGAAGAATACATTGGGTAATTACGTAGTCTGTGTCCCAGACCCAAGAGAACACATTTCAATTGAATTCAACTCAAGTCTAGATTGCTCCAAAGCAATTAGCATTGTTCTTGGCTCCTTTTGGATTTTACTTTTTATTCTGTAGAAAACTTTCAGGGACTAAATATGTTCTAGAATGTTGTTATCCTGTTTTTGGAACGTTTAGGTGGATGTGTCCAGGGCAGGATTAGTTTGATTAGAAACACCACACATATCCATTCACTGTCAATTTTGGGGCGATGGATTAGCCAAGTGGTTAAAGCGTAGCTCATCATGCCAAAGGCCTGGGTTCTATTTCCCTCAAGGGTACAATATGTAAAGCCCATTTCTGGTTTCCACCGCGATTATTGGAATATTGCAGTGTTAAAACCATACTCACTGTCAAGTTAAAACACTTTTGGGTCTGATGTGAATTTGTTAACTGATGTAAAGTTAGTTACTGGCTATAACATCAGACTTTCAAGCTTAAAAGAAATCTTACTACACTTTATCTGTGGACTAGTGACTAGCTGCCAGCAGTGATCTCTTTTTATCTTGAAACAATCCCATCAAGAAGACTATCATCATCACATCACTACAGTCCCAGCAAACAAGTGACTGTGAGCAGATGAAGCATTAGCCATGGAGATACAGGGCTATGTTGTCGGTGAACACAACTCACTGTTTGTCGACTAACAAGGCAGGTATTTCCGGGGGATGGTCAGCGGTAATGTGTTGTCCGTAAAACAACAGACAGGCGACCACCTAGCTAATGATGCAACCATTGAAAAAACATTACTCACGACTCTATTTTCTGTCAACCTGTAATTCTGCTTGTATTAGAACTTTATTCGCTAAGCTTGAGTGTTGAATGATTTTGTAGGTTTAGACATTAAAGATAGATTAAAACGTTCTTCTACTTTAATAACAAGACCTGAAACACTGTATAATTTGAAACTGGAAGAAATCAGGTATCAATTGTACTTCTCATAGACAACATCATCAGTACAAGATGAACTATTTTCAAAGTAATATTTATTTTAGCCTTAAAAGGTCTTGCTTTGACTTCTGAATTTTTATATATTCTACTCAAAAGAAGTTAAATAACACCTGTGAAGATCTTGGGTAGAATAGATCTTCAGCAACCCATGCTTGCCATAAAAGGCGGCTATGCTTGTCGTAAGAGGCGACTAACGGGATTGGGTGGTCAGGCTCACTGACCTGGTTGATGCATGTCATTGTATCCCAATTGCGTGGAACAATGCTCATGATGTCAATCACTGGATTGTCTGGTCCAGACTCAATTATTTACAGACTGCCATCATATAGCTGGAATGATGCTGAGTGTGGCATTAAACAACAAACAAACAAATCATATGACTATAGTTTTTCTGTCATAACAATTACTATAGCAACCGGAAAGAATCGGGTGTTCTTTCAACTTTTTTGGAGTGGTATGGATCTTGCGTTATGAAATCAAGAAGTTATTTCCAAATTTGAACTGAAATAAAGAAACTAACTGCAACTTTCTTTCCTGCAACATGTCAGGATGGCGGAATGTCAATAATAATTGTGTTTGATTTCTCTATGGCGACATCTTCACCACATTGTTGTTAGTGATATTGATCTCTCGACTGATAGTGTAGCTAGATTTCATTGTGTTGTGAGCACTTGCTAATATGCAATCAATACAACTACACCCGTTATATACACCTGTCAATCAATGATCAATTGCATCATTAGGACTCGTTATCAGGTGCAAATAATCCTACCCTCTAGTCTATGTACATAGATCTCAGTGGGTTGTTATGTTAAGGCATGTCATACAAATTTCACTGTTAGAGAAATATTAGATCTGTGCAATCCAATCATAAGAATTTTTTTTACACAAGACATGATAAGCATGATCAATTTTAGTTTCTGTCTTGAATTTATTTCTTGTACAGTTTGATATTTAATTGATATGCAAACTACTGGACTACTAAGGTAAAGATGTATCGAACTATCAGCTTATTGCAATTGTCACCCTACGATTGTTGTATGTAGCGATAGGAATTTAGAAATAACAATGGCATTGTTGACAACAATCAATAGTTTCAGTTTGTGAAAATGAAAGTAAAATAATACGTAAATTATGTATCAGAAAACTCAGTTTTTACAGCAGTTGTCAATCCTGATTTAGCAAGAATTATGACAACTTCAGATTAGATTTGCTTTCTTTTTGTTTGAGCAACGAGAGGAAAATGAAAGATTTTGACATTGGTGGGAGTACTTAGTCCTTTCTATTACGTTGATTAATATGATGATCAAGCCTTAAAGTTCGTTTATCACTATCACAATACTATTACAATAGTTGACAATGATTTGTTTGTTTGTCTGTTGGTTAACACCGCACTCAGAAATATTCCAGCTATATGACGGCGGTCTGTAAATAATCTCGTCTGGACCAGACAGTCCAGTGATTGACATCATGAGTATCAGTCCACGCAATTGGGATACAATGAAATGCATCAACCAAGTCAGAGCGCCTGATCACCCGATCCTGTTAGTCGCCTCTTACGACAAGCTTAGTCGGCTTGTACAGCACCGCTAGTCCCGCACAATCATTGTGGAATAAATATTAAAAAAACAATCTAGATATGTATACAAAAGCAAGTCAAGCCAGCTCTAGCTAGCTCTATTCAGCATCGGGGAAAAATTATTTGTTTAATTTTAGAGTCAAGAAGGATATCGTGTAATATAAGATTTCATAGACTAAATGTCTAAAAAGTCTACGGCACCGTAATACAGTCACAATAGTGAAAATAGCCCTAATAGTCATCCCTTCACTATCCCTATACTATAGGGTTGAATTACAAAAAGTATTATTTTAAAATGATTTAAAAAAACTGATGATTTGACAGGTGTATTGTTTTACCCTCTAAGTATGAGAGATAGCATGCTGTGCACATGCACCTACTATTCAGTTGTCAGGGCAGTGGACATGTCTATTTTTGCAGCTGTTGTAAAAAGGTGTATAAATTTAACTTTTTTCTATTATAAATAATTTTGCTTGTCATGCATTTACTTCCAACATGTATTTGAGTGTCATTTAAGCAGCATAGAAATAAGATGCAAGGTTAACCCCAGTTTAAAATAAAAACATTAAACAAATTATTATTATAACCATAACAATATAGCAATATACAGTGAAGGTGTTTGTAAGATCATTAAAAAGAAAAAAAAAAAGACACTGGTAAAAATAAATTGATTTTTGTTATTTGGATTTAAAAGAAATGTTTAATAGGTAGAAAAATAAAGTGTGGGTGAGAGTTTTTAAGATACATTTTCAACAGGTTTTATTTATGATTTTTTAGTAATGTTGATATCAACAGTATATTGGTTGTATTTTTTAGCAATTTATTTATTCTAGGTCATCAGAATAAAAAACAAACACGCCGTTTCATTTAATTTTGTTCACATTTTCCATTGTTGGAGTCAGCCAAGTTTTTCAAAAAGTCTGTTCAAAGCATGTTTTTCGGAATGACTTTTGTTAACCCTGATTCCTTGTTTCAGGCTTCCCATCCTGCCATCCCAACCCGTGCAAGAACCAGGCACAGTGCATTGGGATATCTTCAGACCACAGTGTCTGCAAGTGAGTGACCTTCCCTTTTCATGTTAGATACTACAGTTCACACTGTTGAAATGAACAAGATCTGCAACAAATGAAACATTACTAGATGTAACAGCAATAACTTGCTCATGTTGCAATGAATTAGTTGCATGTCTGTTTGAAACATGCAAGGATTGCAGCATTGTGCATCTTCCCAACACAAGGGAGTTAACTGACTGTTAAAGTCCAGTTTCCATCCCTGCTGAACTAGGCTGGCAATTCTGGGTCTGATCGTAGCGCAACCAGTGCATATTACAAGTTATGTCTCTTCTATTGACCATTCAGATTCCACCTGTCATATCACTGGCATTTTCTAGTAAGACGGTGGTTCCGGTATTCTACAGGTTAAAACATTTGCCCATCACACCAAAGACCTGGGTCACATAGGAACAATGTGTGAGGCGCATTTCTAGTGTCCCTCGGTGTGATGTTGCTGGAATATTGCTGAAAATGGAGCAAAATCTTACTCACCTTCATGAGTGAATGAATGATCCCTTTAGGAAAACATATAGTGAATGGTCTCTAAATTGCGGTGAAGAAATAAAGGGTCCCCAATACATGCTTGGTATAGTAAAACAGTTAAGAAACGATCACCTTGAGAAACTTAGTCAAGATATAGAGGCCAAGTCTCCAGTGTCTGTAATACACAAATAGAGGTGTTATATTGGAGGAAATACGGTAAAACTGACATTAAAATTCATAATTTTGTTTTGAATTAAAGCCACAGTAAGCATTGTTCTGCAATGTAGCCATATGTTCTGTTATTTTTCCCCTTCAGTATATATTGCAAAGGTGACGTTTATATTGACAATTTGACTATTCGGCTTTTAATGGCTTGTGTCTTGATTCTTCTGTGTATTACAGATTGATCACATCTTGATTCATCTATGTTTTATCTAAACTTGTATTCAAGTGTATAATTTGTGACTAACAGTACAATTGAAACAAGTGTTAGCGTAGCTTCTTTATATACCTGTCCATCATCAAGACAATCAGCAAACAGTCTTAGTTATTTATGACTTCCATTGCTGTCAGTAAGTGTTTTGAGATGAGTCCAATCAACAATTTATGACTAGGTTTTTACCCGATTGCCAGCATGGTACTTGTCCCGACTTTTGCTTAAGGTATTGATTTCACTCATTAAAATCTTCAGCAAATTCATCATTACAGATCCACATTAACAGGGTTTCATGTTTCTTTGAGAGGGAGTTCGAAGAATAGTTAATTCTGCCCAACAGTAGTTACATTTTCATAATTGATGCCAACATTTTTGTTGAGAGATCAGATTTCTCCACATCTTCTTGTCCACAGGATGTGATGTATAAGTTCTGATGTAACTGAGCTCTGTATTGTCATCGGTAACCTTCCCTCCTTACCCCCTCCTCTCCCCACCTTTCCTCCTTACCCCCTCCTCTCCCCACCTTTCCTTCTTACCCCTCCTCTCCCCACCTTCTCTTCTTACCCCCTCCTCTCCCCACCTTTCCTTCTTACCCCCTCCTCTCCCCACCTTCTCTTCTTACCCTCTACTCTGCCCTCCTCTCCCCACCTTCCCTCCTTACCCCTCCTCTCCCGACCTTTCCTTTTTACTCCTCCTCTCCCCACCTTCCCTTACCCCTCCTCTCCTCACCTTCCCTTCTTACCCCTCCTCTCCCCACCTTCTCTTCTTACCCTCTACTCTGCCCTCCTCTCCCCACCTTCCCTCCTTACCCCTCCTCTCCCGACCTTTCCTTTTTACTCCTCCTCTCCCCACCTTCCCTTACCCCTCCTCTCCTCACCTTCCCTTCTTACCCCTCCTCTCCCCACCTTCCCTTCTTACCCCTCCTCTCCCAACTTCTCTTCTTACCCCTCCTCTCCCCAACTTCCCTTCTTACCCCTCCTCTCCCTACCTTTCCTTTTTACTCCTCCTCTCCCCACCTTCTCTTTTTACCCCTCTCCCCACCTTCCCTTTTTACCCCTCCTCTCCCTACCTTCCCCTCTTGTCACCTCCTCTCCCCACCTTCCCTTTTTACCCCTCCTCTCCCCACCTTCCCCTCTTGTCACCTCCTCTCCCCACCTTCCCTTTTTATTCCTCCTCTCCCCACCTTCCCTTTTTACTCCTCCTCTCCCCACCTTCCCTTTTTACCCCTCCTCTCCCCACCTTCCCCTCTTGTCCCCTCCTCTCCCTACCTTCCCTTCTTACCCCCTCCTCTCCCCACCTTCCCTTCTTACCCCCTCCACTCCCCACCTTCCTTTACCCTCTCCTCTGCCCTCCTCTCCCCACCTTCCCTTCTTACCCCTCCTCTCCCCACCTTCTCTTCTTACCCCTCCTCTCCCCACCTTCCCTTCTTACCCCTCCTCTCCCCACCTTCTCTTCTTACCCCTCCTCTCCCCACCTTCTCTTTTTACCCCTCCTCTCCCCACCTTCCCTTTTTACTCTTCCTCTCTACACCTTCTCTTTTTACTCTTCCTCTCCCCACCTTCCCTTCTTCTCCCTACCTTCCCTTCTTACCCCTCCTCTCCCCACCTTCTCTTTTTACCCCTCCTCTCCCCACCTTCCCTTTTTACTCCTCCTCTCTACACCTTCTCTTTTTACTCCTCCTCTCCCCACCTTCCCTTCTTCTCCCTACCTTCCCTTCTTACCCCCTCCTCTCCCCACCTTCCCTTCTTACCCCCTCCACTCCCCACCTTCCCTTACCCTCTCCTCTGCCCTTCTCTCCCCACCTTCCCTTTTTACCTCTCCTCTCCCCACCTTCCCATTTTACCCCTCCTCTCCCCACCTCTCCCCACCTTCCCCTTTTATCATGATACAGACATGGTGAATAACAATACATCACAATAAAGCCAAAATGTATGACAAAATATGGCACAGTACAGCAACAGTGTATTACAGTATGTGTCAATACATCCACAATATACAACAATGCATCCACAATATATTACAATACAGTGACAGTGTATTACAATATATCACAATACAGCCACTATGCATTACAATTTATGGCAATACAGTCTCAGTGTATCACAATACAGCCACAGTGTATTCCATTGAAAGCATTCATCTATATACAAATTTAACTGTTCATATATCTCCTACCTAAAGGCTGATTGTGCTTGCTCATCCTGCACTAAAAGATTCCGAACTTACTGACAGGCCACTTTTTATCATCCCTGACAAACAACTGAATTAGTTACCTTATAGTGTTAATTAACTTTTGTTTTTTTCTGTGTAGTTAGCAATACCTATACAGGTTAAACCTGGCCTGAACCTGTATTATGGAACTGTACATCAGCTGTCTGTCTTTGTGCGGCTGGATCAATAGCATGGTTGCACTCTCAAGGGGTTTTGCTCGATGACAACAAAAGAAATGTTTCAGAGTCTGATCAACAAAACCACATTAATATTTCACTAGCTTTCTTTTTTCCTGCAATTCGGAACCATATTTTCTCAAAGATTCGCTGGTTAATTATTTAATCCCAATCAGAAATGGTTTGCTTCGACAGTTTGGGAAGGTAAAGAAGGTGGACTAGCTCAATTGGCCACACGACATTGCGTTAAGCGTGTTTATAATGTTAATTACGCTCTGAACCATTGATTGGTTGATTTCATGTGTCATGATCTATGAAAGACGCATTGATCCTCATTTCGTGCAATGTCTACTTTCACACCTCCCATTAGATTAAAGGAAAGTAGTTGAGTACCTTATGTTAAGTTCTTATTTGATGAATTGCACAAGCTCATTAATCTCAAAATGGCATAAAAAGAGATTTTGATAGGATGTAACCTTGGCTGTTCCCTGTTCTTACTGGATTAAATTATTTGAAGTTGGACATGATATATGAGTCAGATTACTCAAAGCCACAATAGTTATTAATGGAATGACAATAGTTTGAACAATTACAGGGAAAATTGACAGAGATAAGGCTATTATGTTTTTTAGTTGTCTATTGATAGGGACAATACATACATGTGCACCAAGGACGTCGCTATGTGTGTAAAGAAGGGATAGATACATTCCCCTGTCTGTCAGCCTAAAACAAGTGAAAGTCTAGATGGACCAGTCTTTTCCAAAGATCTAGTTACTTTAAGTAACCTACTAGTTTAAATTGAGTTATGGACTATTTGGATATGACCAATGGTGTTTACCCTTGTAATTACTGTAAAGTGTTGGCTTCCATTGTCTTTTACTAATCCCCCATCAGTGGCAATTATCTGTTGGCCTCCCCTGTTAGTTTCCACCTTTTGTTATCTCATTATTTGTTGTCCTTACATGTACATATATATGCTCTCTGCCTCAAAGCATTCATTCACCTGAAGGAGTAAGCATATACGCCAAACATGTTGTTTCCTCATAACAAGAAGTTGACATCCATAAATTCTCTTCTTGACTTTAAATGTTATTTTCCTGCTGCACAGAGAATATCTGGTTGGTTTGGGTTAGGCTAAGTCTCTATAAAAGTAATTTCTTTGGCAAACAAAACATGACAAATAACAAGTTTTTGTGTTTGGTAGTGTTTCTGAGTGAGTGAGCGAGTGGTTTTACGCCACTTTCAGCCATAATCCAGCAATGTCAAGGCAGTGGACACCAGAAAGGGGCTTCACACAATGTACCTATGGGGAATCAAACCTGGGCCTTCAAGTTGACGAGCAAACCTTTAACCACAAGGCTACCCACCACTATGTATGTCTCATTGAGTAACTTGAGTTGAATGTGTATTGTGTAGCTCATGACAACAGCATGTATTGTTCTGTGCAAGTTTCTATTCCAAATCAATATTGTTTGTTTATATTGCAAATGCTAGCTTTGTCATTAGCTTAAAGGACAGGTTTGTACTTATCACAAGAAAATCCAGGTGGCATACTTCCGAACAGTGATTTTGTTGAAATAAATTTTATGGTGCAAGAAATTTGTGGTGTTTTTTTTGTAAGCAGAACTACAACATTTCCCTTCAAATTAACAGGTGGAACTTATATATTCTGGCAGTGCTAATAATAGTGGACCAGT